CCTCTCCTCCTTTGATTTGTGGGTGTCAGACCTTTTGACCCAGTGACAGGAAAGTGGCTAATACCCTTGGGGAGGAAATGGATAATGAGACAGAGAAGTGAGGGAAGCAATATATATGGTCATGAACAGTTTAATACTGTACTTGAGACAACAGGGTCTCAGTCCCACCAGGGACCTTGCACAGAACTGTGTGAAGCATACTGCAGAAGATCCCACTGATGAGTGAGCAAGTGGAAGTCCCTCACTGGTGTAAGATCACTGCTGGAATTAATCCAAGCCTCTCTGGTGAGTCTGTGAGGCAGATGTTGCTCAGATGCATATCAAGCTCCTCCCCTCTCCTGGATACACACTGAGGGCCATATGCATGAACTGCGGCCCAGGAGCTATGCACAGAAGTGAAGGTGGCCACCCCCAAGCCTTACTCTCAACACTGCCTGTGAAGTCTTCTACTCTTCCTGTCTCTCTTCCCCCACCTCCTAGGAAGATCCCAGCTCCTGGAGCAGAGCAGCACCACAGGAAGGAGAAATTCTTGATCTGTGAATCACCAACACAAGGCTGCCCTCCAAATGTCTGGGCAAACTGTGGCAAAAGCAAGGAATCGCCCTTAACAGTTTATAGCATTGCCATCCCCTGTGCTTTGGCAGCTAGATATGCTCCAACTTACTATTGCAGGTGGAACCTTGGGAGGCAAGTCCTGAGATACTGGTTGCACATTCCTGAACAAAGGGAAAGGCCCTTGGAAAGTAGGGGCAGTGTTTCTGACCAGGCCGAGGAGTCACTGAGGGCAGCCAGGGCCACAAGGCCAAGCCTGTGTACTGTGCAGCCTCTGCATGTTGCATGGGAAAAACTGTGTCTGAGAGATAAAGTGTGTGACTGTGACACTCATTCCCTTTAGTCGAAACCACTGGGAATTTATTCCAATATCCTTTAAATAGCACATCCTCCAGAACAGAGACAAAACCTATCTTCTAGGGGCCTAAGAAAGACCTGTGATAATGAATTGCGGGGGAACCTTCTGAGCTGGAGATGTAGTGGTAAAACATGGTATTAGCAGAGGACAGTGGCAGAGCAAATGCAGAGGCCTCCGCCAGGAACCTCGCCAGCACAGCGGTGGTCCAAACATAACCGCAGGACCATGAAGGAGGCTCCACTGCAGAGGCCAGCCTTGTGAGCTGGGAGGAGCACTGAGAATGGGAAAGCATGGTGCCCTGGAGTGCTGCTTTGGCAATAGCTCTGCCTGCTCTGGACTCTGGAGACACCATTGCAATTCTATAGCAGATGCAAAAAGTTGGAAAGCTTGACCATCGCATCCCTCAGCCGGCAGTTTTGCAGATTTTCTCCTTCCTAACATGTGAGGAAGCCACAGCCACACAGAGAAAAGGTCTGAGTAATGTCATACTGTTTTACCAAATTTGGATAGTGACTCGTGCTATCTACAGTTAACACTGCCACTTTTAATATCTGTCCTTTGGCTCATGTGTGCTAGCAACCATCTTAGATTTCTAATCTGTAAGATCTTCCCTTTCTCTGCTACAGTCCTATCCCAACTAAGAGACTCATCCTCCCTGTTACATTTATGCACATCAGGTCCTCACTGGATAAAAGCTTCTACATTCCCTTTTTCAGGCTGATTCTTGTTGCCTTTGGCTGAAGGAAATAGTTCCAAAGCCTGGGTGGAAGTGTGTGCCATTGATCTCCAAGGTCACTTTCCACTTAAGAGCCATAATAGTGAACCTTCATGTGGCTCTCAATCCTGTCACCTCCTCCCACTCCTGCCCTGTTCCTGTCACACACAGTTTTACCATGAGCAAGGTCAAAGAGATACATCTGGGTGGATCACAGATGTTGTCAGATGCATTCTACCAGGTACATTGAATGAATGAATGAATGAATCAATGAATGAATGAATGAATGAACGAAAGAACAAATGACAGGGAAAATTATTTGGAAGAGTAAGAAAATATCTGTCACATTCGTAAGGTGAGGCCTTTCTTTGATGAGTAGCATGGCAGATGTAAAAATACATGAGACAAGCAACAGAGTGAAATTGCCTATATGTGGTGAGAAAGGGGGTGCTGGGTTTGATGCAGGCCCCAGAAGGTACTAGAGACCTGTGACGTGGACCAGAAGGGCAGAGAGGGAGAGGAGGAAGCTGGGCAGAGAAGAAATGGGGCAGAGACACCAGTGGAAATTTTCATTAACTTCTGCTGTGTGGGTTTGTAGTATAACAACCTTATTTGCTCCCTCAGAAAAAATTCATAAAAAAGCTGGAACTTTCCCTTGAGCCATGCTAAAGCACTTTCAACATGAGGCACAGGGATATCAGAAACACTGATATCTGGGTTACAAATGAGAGAGATTTGTGAGAGAGACAGACAGAAATGACAGTGGAGAAGGTGAAGGAAGAAGAGGAAAAAGAGAGGAAAGACGGAAAAGGAAGCAAGGAATGAAGGAAGAAAGGAAGGGTAGGAGAAAAAAGAAAAGAGAACCCTTTTAATAGTATATTTTCTCCTTATCTTCACAGGAATGTAAACTTCTGTTCAGTGTGCCTGGGGCATTCAATTCAAAAGTAACTTAACCACAACTCATATCTCTTAAATATTTTGAGGGAGTGAGAAAATTAAAACCAATGTCATCTAAAAATAAATAATCAGATCTTAGGGTCTGAAAATTTGAAAAACTTATCTTGCAAATCTGTCCAGAAGGGGATTAGGATGAGGTATGGGGTGGCACGTGTCTTTAATTTCCTTTTATAATCCCCTTTGAACTGTCTGTACTCAGATCTCCCAGTCCCTACAGGAATTTCCTCCTCGTCCTCTGCAGAGGGAATCTGCTGCTTTCAAACCTCTTTGCTGCAACTGGAAATGAGTGGCTCCCTTCCTCCATGCTGATAAATCACGGCCAGGCTATTATTTATTAG